TTTTTTCAAAATACGTACACGTACACACAGACACACATTCATTTTTTCTAAGGTATGCCAAAATTTTCAGAAATCTTCGAAATGTAAAGATATGCTAAATTTTTTATTTTCGATTTTTGGACGATTACAATAAATGCCCTTGCCCCGTATCATCGAAACGGCTGGACCAACCTTTACCAAAAACTAATCAGCACGTCTCCTCATCAATATGAATCGAATGCTATTTGAATTATTCAAATCGGTTGATCCGTGTTCACAAAAGTGTCAACAAAAATTTGTATCCGCACATATATACACAGACACATTATTCACAGATATACACATCAGCCAAAATGTTCAGAAACCTTTGAAACGTAAAAATAAATAAAAATTTTCATTTTCGATTTTTTTGCGGGAAATTAATACGTTTAGTTAATAAGTTCATATATTTAAAAATTGAAATACATTTTTAAGCTTGAATGCAGATTTCGAGCAGTTGATAAAATACAATTTGCTATCAAATAAATACTAGCCATTTAACGTTAGATGCAGTGGTGTAATGATTAAGGATGTGGTTATGTGAAAACTAGTTTCATTTCGAGTTCAATCACAACATTGAACAGGTTGATATTAAGTAGTATGATATCAAATTTCTACTAACACTATTAAATATACTTATCTAATATATGCAGTCTACACTTAAATTAAAAGCGTGGTTGACCGGGCAGCCAAACAAAGGTAAATATAGCTTATAGAACACATAGTTTGCTATTAGTAGAAATGATGCGAGATACAAACAATTAATAAAGTTGTTAATTGATCACTTATTTCCCAACCTATGGTCTTCAAAGGCATAAATTTTCAGTTGGCGTCTATGAATGTGAAGCATTTGCATTTTCCGCAATCTGATAGTATAAGTTTCATGAGAAAATGGAAAGGCGTGCCGCCTCAGCGCAGAATTCTGTTCCAATTCTGAACGACTGGTCTAGAATAGTTTATATTCCGCTCAAAGTGCAAATGCCAATTCGAACTTTTCATGTCCATGTCCATACCTCCACCTTGCTACACATCGATCATATCAAAGGTGCCATAATGCAGAAACCAAACATATGCAATGGATTTGTTTCAAAACGTACTTATATCGAAAATAAGAATCTTTTGAAGTAAAAGTTACGAAAAATCTGGGTTTTATGCACTTATTTGTTGGTGTTGGATAATATCTATATTTAGGTGCAAACATATATGTACTTTGTTACAAAATCTTTCAACTATTTTTTTTAAAAAAAGGCTTATACTAATGTGTATAAATAAAAACAGTTTGACAAATTTCTATTAATGGAGGCCTTCGTGGCAGAGTGGTTAGTGTATACATTGGCAATCAGGCGGGTCGTGGTTTCAATCTCCGTCATAAGCAACCTAACCCTGATATCAAGCAGAAGCAAAATCAATTTTCAAAAATTTTACCTGGGGCTAGTTTTGGAGGATAGTTGTAAGTTGTAACAAAATTTTGAGGGATAGTTGCAAGACCGAAATTTTCCTAGAAAATAATTAATTGCAAAATAATGAGAAATATTAATTAATCAAATTACTGGATTCGGTAGAGGATATAATATATAATAGATGATAAGCTGTGTAGATATATAATCCGTGGATCTCAAGATGTAATTGTTACGAATGGGGGGTTGGTCAGAGCCCTTCGGAATAGCTAATTGAATTTGACTCAATAGCTAATCCGAGGATTTTGTATATCTAAATATATTAAGGAAAAATACTCGTTGTTCTCTGCTTGGTCGGCGGCCCAGTCGATTGGTGGCTTGAAGTCTGGAATTCTCGGATCGCTATAAGGAATGGATACTGAGGTAGGAATGGACTAGAGAAGCACAATAAGAAACACTGGCTGCGATTAATAACGTATTTATTTACACAAATAACATCGAACACACGGAAAATACAACAAAACTCATACAGAAAACAAGTGAAATGGCGTACATGTGACAAGCGAGACGGCGAGACCCAGTTCACCCGCATGATTAGCGATTATATCCAAAATCTTTAGGGATTGCCAGAGAATAAAGCATTGTCTGATTCTTGCAAATGTCATCTGGCGATATGTAACAAGATTCTGGCGCAAAAAAGTGTTACAACAAGCCCCTAGCTTCCTTACAGATTGTAGCTTATACATAAACAGTTACTAGAAAATTAGTGATTAAATTAAAATATAATATAAATTAGAGTAAAAGACTTAAATACTCCCAAAACGGATTGAATAAACACTTTTTGTCCAATTCTGTATATCAAATTCATTTTAGGGTTGAATATTAATTTTATATTGAAAACTATTAGTTTTGCAAAATTAAGTTAAACTTTTATATTTTTAATGTTTAGAAATATAGAAAACATATACGTTCTCAATGAACTTGAACGACTTGACAATATAATGTTCATAACAAAATTAACTTCTTATACGAATTTATAATTAATTTATTAATAATTATTTCTACACTTTATGAAGCACTGCAGTAAAACCTAGAAGGCATATATAGAATAGTTAAAAATAACTATGAATAAATTATGTTTTATTTACAACTTACACTAATATGTTTTAGAGAATAGAAAGTAGAAGCGTTATAATGTGAATATGAACAATACATCATACATATTGTAATTATACAAATCGAAAGCGATAGCTTGCTTTCGATATCGCACTCAAAATCATCCAATCAGTACAAAATAATCCATTAATATAAAAAATTAAGCATTTGTTAAATGTTATTTTAAAAATCATTTGCAAGTGCCAATTTCAGTAGTAATAAAAAATTGATTGTTTTTTATTGTATCCAAGCAGATATAGGTTGATGGTATAAGGCGAATATATATTTTTTTATTTTTACAATGAATAAATGAAGGCATACAAAATTTTGTTTCATTTAGTTATTGGAATAAAATGTGTTAAACGAGAAAATAAGAATTTATTCAGGACTTCATGTTTGACGAAACAAATCTAAGCCTCTTACATATATAAACAAATTTGTTAGCAATCTAGAACACTACAAATATTAAACATAAATTAAAGGGAGTCTTTTTGCTCATATTTAGGAATATGATAAATATATCATAAAAATATAATAACATTTTTGAACTTAAATTTAAAAATTCTAAATTCAAAATCATAAATATTCATACTAACTGAATTACAAAATCATCGTTCATATTCAAATCAGATCAATTCAATCAAGAATTCTTTCTTTATATTTGTAATGTTCCAAAGTAATGTTATATTATTAGTAATATATTTATTTGATTCCTTATTAAAATATTGTAAGAATAATTATAGTTGTATATTCAAAGTTTCAACTGACATGATTTTTCAATTTTTTTATTTTGATATAATAAAGTAATATCATGATCAGAAACAAGTTTTTCTTGCAATGCTATAATATATTTATAATAAAATAATCCAATTAAGAATCTACTGTGATCTAAACTAATTCTGATTTAAGCAATTCTAAATAATATAATAATGAAAAAAAATGAATAATATTTTTAAAATTTAAATATGTATTACTAATTAAGAAATATTTTATTTCATTTGCAAATGCATATCGTGTTTTTCAAGAAATATATATGGATAATATAATGTAACAATTTTTTTTAACTCTGTTTTATCCAGCAATCCGAAATACATGATGATTCCTATAAGCTAAATTGACAATATTTGAGAGCGATGTCTATGAAGAACTCTAGTGAGATCTTCTTAGCTTAACAAATGAAAAGATAATGTTATTTTGAAGCTAATCTAAGACTAAATCTAAAGGCCTATTGATGGGTTTGAATGCTATTCCAGTTTACGTTTGTATTTTTCATTAAATTCTTTGAACGTTAGTTGCACCGTTTTCATGTTGAGGTCGCTGTGAATGGTTTCATTTAGTAAGCACATCCCCAGAGCTCAATTCCGTAGCTCCAGATTGGTTTAGACTATAGAGCTTAGACTTTCTACGCAGTAGCCAATCAAATTCTTTCATTTTGATCATTATTTGCTGCTTTTTTGTTTTTATGTGGCTTTTCCAAGTAAGTCTGCTGTCTAAATGGAGGCTAAGATATTTCAATATGTTCTGTTTCGGAATCTGGACGTTATTTAAATAAATTGGAGGACACGTACCCTCTCTCAGGGTAAATGTGATATGAGCTGATTTGGTTTCATTTATGCAAACCTTTCATTTGGCAAGCCACATTTGAAGTTTATTGATATGTTCTTGCATTTGTCGGGAAGCTTCAGCTTGTGATTACTGCTTAGTATGGCAATATCGTCAGCGAATGTAGCAAGTGTCAGATTTTCAAGTAATGGGAGGTCCTTTATGTACAAAACATGAAAGAAAGAACCAAAAATACTACCTTCTCTGATCTCCTGACATTATTTTGTGGAAATCAGATGTTACTTGATTTACTTTTATTTGAAAAATTATTCTACAACAAATATTTTTATTTATAAAATATGCCATTAAAATCTGGTGTAGTTGGTACTTGTAAATTTGTTATTTTTCATATTTTATAAAATGTTTTATACTTGTTTGTATAAAATGTTACTAATAAATTTTAAAAAAATTATATTTTATAAAATATGCCATTGTATTCTGAATTATTTGTTACTTGTAACTTTGCAGTTTTTTGGTATCTTATGCCATTGTACTCTGAATTAGTTGTTACTTGTGAATTTGCAGATTTTTATATTTTATAAAATATGCCATTGTACACTGAATTAGTTGTTACTTGTGAACTTGTTGCAAATTACAACTTCAAATCATATAAGTTCTTCCTTTGCATTCACATACAAACAATTGTTTCATTGACTAAATGCACAACAAAAAGATATTATAAAGATTGCACAGACTTAAAATCATAAAAAATGCATATTGTCCATTGTGTCGAAATCTCTTAGCCGACGTCGGTATATATTAGACTGCAACATATAAGTATTTAGGAATTCAAAAGCGATAAAATAAAGCTTTTACAATATATTTTACGATCGCAACCGGTTCACGATGCATAATGAGTTCCATTGTTTTAGTGATTCATATCCAAAGGAATTGCAAGGAGAGCATTTTGTTCTGTCGTCGTAAAACTTACTTAAGAAGCTGTCAGAATGACTGATGGCCGAGGCGAATTCGATGTCTAGTCGAAGAGCGACCAGAGAAATTTCAATTGTTTTTATCTATTTCTACACTACATAGATAATAGATATATTCAGATATATATGGTAATGTGCTGGAGGTATGGTCACGTACAGGCCCAATGTAAAAGTAAAATACGTTGTAAAAAGTGTGCAGAGGAACATAAAATGGAGGTATGTAAAAGTGAATTAGTGATATGCGGTCTATGTTATCGAAATCATCTAGCGGATGATAAAGGCTGTGAGGTTTACTTAAAAAATAAAAAAATTAAAGAGATTATGGCAATGCAGAATATAACATATTCCGAAACAAGAAAGATAGTGCAAAACAATGGATACGCTGAAGCAGTTGGTAACACCAATCAGTTTAAAACATATGAAAGTAGTTACCCAGAAATCATTAATACCACTGCACGGAATTCAAGTACATCAAGTAGTAATAGGTATCAAATACTATCAAATTGGAAGGAAAAAGAAGAATATTATGACAAAGAAGTGTTAATGAGAATAAATAAGCCATATAATAGGAATAATATGAGAAATTTTTACAACAGAAATTTTGAACATCGGTCAGGGGTAGATTTAGTAGAAAGAAATGATAGTACTAACTCAAACAGAAGGAATAAAAGAAATGAGATTAGAGAAATATCAACTGCACGGAGGATACAATTGAGAAGTGATATTATGAATATAATTAAAAAACTAGAGGATCAGAGATATGGGATAGATGTAAATAAAGAAGATAATATGAATTTGATAAAAACAAAATTAGAATTAGTTTTAGAAAGTTTAGGTAAAGGTAGTGAAAAAAAATCATTAGAAATGGTTTATTCTGAAGGAATTGATTAATTATTTATTTAGCAAAGATTAATGTGTGAGTATGTAGGTATAAATTTAAAATTTAAAATTTAAAAATAATATATATATATATATATATATATATATAAATATATATTGAAAAAGAAATAATAAGAAGATAGTTAAGGTTCTATTGTATTTATTTGTTTATTTGGTTAAGTAATGTTAAATTAATTAATTAATTATTGTTATTATTTTTTATATATATAAGGATTAAATTATGAGAATAATGCAATGGAATATTAGATCGTTTTATGCAAATAAAGAAAGTTTAGAAGATTGGTTATATAATAAACAATTAGATATAATAGCATTATCAGAAACCTGGTTCAATAAGAATAGGCAGTATAATCTAAAAAATTTTAATTGTATAAGAAAAGATAGGAACGATAATAAAGGAGGGTCGGCATTATTTATAAATAAAAATATAGATAGTAGGGAATATGAAATAAATTTTGAATCAGTCGAAGATAATAATTGTCAAATGTGTGCAGCAGAAGTTAACGTTAATAAGGAAAAAATTTATTTGATATCATTGTATGTTGTTCCCAAAACGAATATTTCAAAAGAGCAATGGAATAGATTATTCTGTAAAATCCCAAAACCTTGTATCATTATGGGAGATTTTAATGTTCACCATTATGCGTGGGGTTGCTCATATAGTGATAGATATGGTAATGAACTATTGGAATCAATTGAAGAAAACAATTTATATTTAGTGAACAATGGAAGTCCGACTCTGGTATTCAAAAATACAAAAACGGTGGTTGATATAACTTTATGTTCATCAGAAATAATAAATAAGATAAAGTGGGAAGTGCAAAAGGAGTCACTAGGATCTGATCATTTTCCAATCCATGTTGAACTTAATGTGAAAAATGACAAATATATAAATACATCAGTAAGAAAATGGAATTGTAAACGAGCAGACTGGGATAAATATAAATCCGTTATAGAAGAAAAATGCGAAATAATAGATAATTCTACAACAGAAGTTAGTTATAGTGAATTATTAGATTGGATTGATAGTGCAGCTAACAGCAGTATACAAATTAATAAGGTGAGGAATAAAACCAGAAGACCAATGTGGTTTGATAATGAGTGCTTGGATTTAATTAAAAAACGAAGAGAAATAGAAGCAAAATACAGAAATAATGCAAACTGGGAAAACTTTATGGAATGTAATAGATTCAAGGCAAAAGTAAGAAGAATTTTCAAATTGAAAAAAAGAGAAAGCTGGAATAATTATATAAATAATATAAAACCTAAAACGCCCGCTAGGAAAGTTTTCAAAATGGTAAGATCTATGCTAAATATGGGTGAATCGGGAAATGTATCAAAATGTAGTGATGATGTATTAGATGTTCTAGTAGACAAAATAGCACCACCAGGAGTTAGTTACAATATTGATGAAGATTTAAATGGGTATGCGGAAATGGAAAATGATTTATTAAGTAAACCGTTTACAAAATGGGAACTAGAAAAAACCTGGAATAAAAGAACGGATACAGCGCCTGGATTGAATAATATTCAATATTCAATGTTAAGAAACCTTCCAGAGAAAGGTAAACAAATATTACTAAAGATAATTAATAAATATTGGAAGAGGCCTGAATTAATTGATGACTGGCATATTAATAAAGTGATTTTGTTAAGAAAACCAAATATAAATAGAAATGAAATAGATGCCTATAGACCAATAACTTTAAGCTCGTGCATAGCCAAGATAAAAGATAGATTGATAAAGAGGAGGCTAGAATGGTGGTTGGAACATAATAAAATATTCCCAAGAACTCAATTTGGTTTCAGAAGAAAACATAGTACAATGGATAATTTAAGTATATTTATTAGTGACATAAATTTGGCATTTTCTAAAAATACATATGTTGTAGCACTATTTAGTGATATAAAGGGAGCTTATGACAATGTAATACCTAATATTTTAATGGATAAATTATTAAAGTTAGGTTTGCCATTAATTTTTGTACGAAGTATAATTTATAATGTTTTCCAAAGAAAAATAGTTTTAGAGATGAATGATAGAAAATATGAAAGATACTTATACAAAGGACTTCCGCAAGGGGGTATACTGAGTCCTTTATTATATGCTTTATATGCTTATGACTTAGAAAAAATTTGGGTACCTGGAACAAAGATCTTACAATATGCTGATGATGTTGTGATTTATGTAGAAAGGAAAACATTAAAAGATGCTTTGGAGATTATGACAAACAATATTGATTTATACAATTTATGGTTGAGCAAAAATGGTTTAACATTATCAGAAGAAAAAAGTACGATTGGTATATTCACTAGACATAATAAAAGAAATTTCCCAACAAGCCAAAAATTATAATATAAAAGTTCAAGAAATAAATAAATTTTTAGGAATTTATCTAGATCAAAAGTTGGCATTCAAGACACATATAGAAAGTATTAAAAAAAAGACAGAAAAAAGTATAAATATATTGAGAATGTTAAATAAAACTTGGAATGGTTTACATCCAAGTTCAGCATTAAACCTATATAGAGTATTAATTCGACCAAAATTAGATTATGGCTCTTGGATATTTAGTAATAGTAGAAAAATTCAAGATTTAGACAAGATTCAATATCGATGTCTTAGAATATGTATAGGAGCAATGAAGTCAACGCCAACAAATGTATTATTATTGGAAAGTGGAGAAATGCCATTAGAAATAAGACGAAAGCTCTTATGTGATAAATATATTTTGAAAAACATAATAAATAATGAATCTGTGTTGAATTACAAACTGATGGAAATATGGAGATGTATAGACAGGAGCACATATTGGATAAACAAAAAAGTACCAGACATTCTAAGCAGTTTTCAATTTTTAAAGGATTATAGGAAATTTAACGTAGTCCATGGAGTTCATCCATATTATGAAAAACTGTATTATAATAAAAGAACGATTGTAGTCAAAAAAGAGTATAAAAAGTGGATAGAACACGATGGACCAATAGTATAATTTTATATACGGATGGGTCGAGAAATAATGTTTCACATAGAGTTGGATGTGCAATATGGATTGAAAAGGAAAAAATACCAATATGTTATAAACTCCCGGAGTTTATTTCTATTTATTCGGCAGAACTAATAGCTATTCGTGAAGCTGTTAGAATAGCTAAAATGAATAAGTATAAAAAAACTATGATTTTAACAGATAGTTTAAGTTGTGTAAATAAATTAGAGAAGTTCATGAATACAATAGAATTTGAAGAAAAAATATATTTTGAAATATTGAATGATATAGAGATAATTACAGGGATTGGAAATAACATAAATATTGGATGGGTACAAGGTCATATAGGTGTGGAAGGAAACGAAAAGGCTGATGAACTGGCAAAAATAGCAAGTGTAAGCGGACAAGAATATAATAAATGCTTATATGGTGACATAATTAAGAAAATTAAAATTAAATCATAGGAGAGATGGAAAGAAGTATGGAGAGAAACATCGCAAAGAAAAGGAAGGCATTACAAATTATATAATGACTGTTTATCGTTTAAACCATGGTTTGAAGAGTTTAAAAATGAAGAAAGAAGTTTTATTGTCACCATCAGTAGGATAAGAACCAAACACGGAAGCTATGCAAAACACTTGCATAGAATAAAAGTGATAAATTCAGATATATGTAAATGTGGAGAGGAAGAAGGTACTCTGGAACATATAATTCTGGAATGTAAAAAATATGAAGAAAACAGAAAAAGAATGTTAAATTATATATATAGAAATTTAGATATCAAACCGTTTAACTTAGATCTATTAATTTGTAATAAGAATAGCTATAGAGTAATATATGAATTTTTAGTTAGATCAAAAATTAAAATATAAATATGTATATTTAAAATTATATAGAAAATATTTAAGTTAAAATGTATGTTATATGGCTAATTGTATAATAAGAGGAAGCCAATAAAAATAAAAATAAAAATAAATAAATATATGGTAATGTATACATAAACTAGGTGTAAGTGGCATTTTGATAATTGACTTAAATAGACGAAATTGAGTTTTAGCTAAATTTTTCAAATGTTTATTTCAAAAATAAATTTCTTAAAATTGTAAATTTATTAAGTAAAAGTTACTAAGTAAATAAATTCTCAAAAATTGAACATTACGATTAACAATTGATATAAATCACACAAACACATTTAAAACGTCTGTGATTATATTAATCATGTGATTGCATTGGGTATGTCCTGAAAGTATCCATTATTCCAAATCTTAATGAATTTATATAATTCAGACAATTTTCGTATGACTGTTTAGTGCCATGTTAAATTTCATTTCAAGTAAAACTACTTTAGGCGCGACTACGCCCGAACTGTTCGTCATTTGCTCTCGATGAGATCATTTCTATACGGGTCGATTGTGATTAGCCGTCGTGTACGTAAATAGAGATCTGTCGTTGTATGCGTACCGGCATCAAGGTTGTATGTGTACCGATATCAACAAGGAAATCGAGTAGATAAATAAACATTTTAAAGTTACATCGTAGTACAAATCTTGATTTAATGAGAAATGCCCAAATCAGAAAAATATTTTACCCTGTTCCTTGAAAATAAACAAATTAAACATTTAGGCCGTGTACTAAACGTAAGTTTATTGATAAGAAATTATTTCTATGTTATTCGTAGTTTCTATAAACCTTTGATAAATTTAAATCTTTATTAAAATGTAAAATATTTTTTAGGCAAGACAGATATTACAGCTGTTCAAAGAATGAGATCATATCGCCAGCAAAAAATTAAAAAAAATACAAGCAGTCAATGAATGTATGTTATTTTTAATTACATGAAGTTTTTCAAACACAATTACATGCTGAGTAAAGTTGCAAAAACAATATTTGTTTAGGTGTTGTTTAACATAATCCACCGTGTAAACGAATTATTAATCAGCAATTACTTCATTTCTCTAATGAAGGTTCATTTCTAAATGCTAATTACAATGACAAACCGATCATGTCATATTTGAAGTATGACTTTAATTATATTATTGTTTTTAAATATTATACATATTTTTAATGCTATTATAAATATATAATTTATATTGTATCATTATATAAATGTGTATAATGGTGTACACTAATAAATGTGTGAATCACGAGTGTTACCATATTAATAATAAACATTATTCAAAATTGTTATATGATGTATTTATTTTTACTTAAATGCCATCTTATACAGTAGCAAATAAGTTTCACTTAAATCGCGTGTAAACCTTATGCGCACTCTCTTTTTTAAGTATATTGATAAATTATTTGGTGATATATTAAGCATCTGCTAAAACATAATAGTGGCATGATCATTTAAGAACTCCTTGATATTATTTAATTTTTTACACGCAGAGAAGTTTCGTAAACTGCTCATGTTAATTGAGACAGATATAAAGAATCTTTTTTAAATAATTATTAATTAATTTCTGTAAACAAAGCACAAATCAAGATAGCAAGATTCTTTGCAAGAACAGGTACAAAAAATAACATTTTGCTGGGTTTTAAACTTGTAAAATTTGTTCAGCCGCGTTTGAGGAATCGTCAAAAAGATTCAAATTTTGATTCATGACATCACAAAAGCGAATTTTGATACAAATTTTGGCAAATTTTTCATATTTTTTCAAACATTCATGATTTTTTTAAAATAATAAGATAATACAGTTGATTATAAAATGTAATTATTTTCAAGAGCAAATACTTGAATAGAGATTTGAATTTAGCAATTCCAGAATATTTTATTGATTTAAAAATATTTCGATAATACAATAGCAAAGAAGTGCTATATAAATATAACTACATACTATCAAATATCATATTTGTTTCATTCACAAATTGTACTGGTCTGTAATATTCTTATGTTATAAGTGCATTCGCACCTGTTTTATTTATTTCGATCAAGACGTTGAAAGTGAATCTAAATCAACTTTTACACATGTTATTCAAAGATATGTAGGTCAGTGTATCTTTATTGTTCTCTACAATAGCACGTATGCACATTATAACCACGATATATAACGATAATTAGTCCGAGAGGCAATGACACCATCGAAATTGAGAAAAATCGGAAAATGTAAAATTGAGAATGTGACATAATATAATGAAAAAATGTTGATTAATGAAAGAACTTACATATACTAGTTAATATACTAATACAGACGCTACAACTAGTGAGGTAAAATTAAAGAACCCTCTAATCGAAATCTAATTTATGGGTCAAATTGTAGAGAGCTGAAAACATACATCGGGGCTCATCTCGATTATGTATCTATAAGTGATTTCAATCAACTTTTCCGAAGAAACCTTAGCTTTGAAGTTTTTCGTCAACATATTTAAATATCAATTTGCATGTTAATATGTTTGGAAAATTGATGATTTTTTTTTATTGTGTTTTAAAATACAAAGAATATTGTAACGAATTTGCATTAAGTATGTCGTCGCCCCTCTGACTGAAGTCTTTATAAAATAATAACACAACGAGCCTACATATCTATAAACAATATCTTGGCATATAAACAATTGTAAATGACGTGCAAATGTAATCGAAAGTATAAAAGAATTGTTTTTTTTTATAATAACAAAAAAAATTCTCACATAAAACTAAAAAAATGTAATTAGTCAAATGTAAAGTAGTCTAAATGTAGTAGTCAAAATATTTAATTAAACTTATTTTTTTTAAATAGCAAAAGTTCTATACATAATTGTGAGGACAGTATTTTCATCCATCATTAGTACAAAAAACTAAAAGTAATAACATAAATAGGTAATGATTATGCATAAACATAATGGCAACTTGATGCAAAAATAATTCTAGAAGTAAAAATATAACTTAATTCTTGGAGAACTTCCAAATACTTATAATTAATACGGATTAATATTTAAATGCTTTTTTAGCTGGACTAAAGGCAGGTTTATTATATGACTAGCATTATATTTTGCTTTATTTTTAAAAATCTCCAATAAATATTTATCCATCAACCATCTACATAATGCATATTATAAAATATCTGAAAAGAAAAATTTTATCATTTGGGTAAATTCTAAAACTAATGACAAAAATACAAATTCGTTTTCTCGACGTTATCATTACTATTATTTTAACTATGTCACCTAAGACTGGTCCATTATTAAATCAGCATTATTTTTTAATTCATATGTTTTTTTTTTCAAATTAAGTTTTAGATTGTTAGTTGTATGATTGAGTAATCAACAGTGTTAAATTTAGATACTTTAAACAAGCACATTGTGGACGAAGATTTTATCTAATACTTTTTTCTCAAGAAATAAACGTCTTATATATGTATATTTGTGTCTTTAGAAGTTAAAGAAATAGTTAATTGGAATAAACGCAATACAAAATTGCAACATGTCATAGTAAAAGGTGTTAAATACAGTAAGAAAATTGCGTCAATGAAGGAAACAAATGTTTTTGTCAAGTCCAACAGAGTAATTAAAATAACACGGATTTGCTCGTTGGGCGCAAAATTGCGCAGCACACAGTTGTTTAAATTGTTTGGAGTTATTCTTACAAAACATTGGCATTGTTAAAATACTCTAAACATCTATTAAGGAATAATAAGATTTCGAAATACTTTCAGTTCGTCCTTTCCCACCTTGGTTTTACTCATATAATCTTCATCTAACTAATCTGCATGACGCTTGTTAGCCATGATAATCTTGATACTTTATTAGCGATTTATTTGCTTAATGAGTTTTCTTCAGATTTATATTGTAATTATTTAAATATTAAGTTGGTAGTTGAAAGTACAAAACTACTAATATGTCTCATGCTATCCAGATTATCATTCGTCACAAACAATACAACTTTGGCAATTTGTATACACTGGAAATAATAATTCTTATCAGGAGTAATATATTTTTAAGTTTTTATTAGTTATTTTATCAAAGGAAATTTTTTCATCAGCATGATGTTCGAGATCCACCTGTCTTCAGATCATCTACACTTCCAGTAATCTTCAAATCATACAGATAATTCCATTGTTATAATTAAAATCCTAAACTTAAAATACTACTAATAGTGCATGGCATCGTGCCTTAGGGAAAATTGCTGGAACTTCCCATTCCGCAAATTAAAATTTTTAAAAAACCTTTAAAATTATTTGAAAATCGTGAAAAAATGAAATTTTTGAGAATTTTGGAATTAATATTAAATTTTTTTTTCATAATTCGAAATTTTTTTTTATACTTTGAATTTTTCTAGAAATGTTTTTTAAAAGCTATAGTGCTGCGTGGCGGTTTTACAGAAGAAATATCAAAGCGCTTATGCACCGCATCGCAGTCTATTGGATAAACATTGGTACGGAACCCATAAAAACGTAAACGAAATGCATACTGTTTATTGAAATCTCTATGAAGTATCTGATAATTTGAAACTCATATGTCTAATGATCATTTTTGACCGTCAAATGACAACTTTTTTCACTCGATCTCTTAAACCTCTAGAATTGCTTTCGCAAAAATTCAAACGGTGCTTCAATTTGTCAATACAAATAAAATGTTTATTGAATTATTCAAATTGAACGCTCCGTTCTCTCAAAAACTGAATTACTATTTTTGGCTTATTTTGTCCCGTATCCTCGAAATTAGCCAGACCTGCCATTGCCAAAAACTAATCAGCAAAATTTGATTGCTATAAAAAAACAGTTTTGGAGCAAGCGTAACAACAC